TCAGGAGGACAATAATGTTACAGTAGTTTAACCCCCTTTGAGGATACAGCCACTAACAATCCGAGCTGCTAATGCCAGATCATGGAGGCTGTCCTAGAAACCGGAATGCGAATTATCACAGCAATGAACGTTGGTAACTTTATACGCGTAACAGTTCAAACAGAATAGTAAAGGAAATATAATATACATACATTTTTAATAACGATATCACGGCATTAGATAGCGTCATCCCATGTCATTATCGCCGTAAGTTTACCACTGAATGCATATCGACACACTTTCTATTTTTTAATATATATTGATTACTTTGACTGATAACTTTATGGGCATGTATATCCTAACTTTAGGGGCATGTATATCCGCGAGCGAGGATAATATGGAATGGGAATCATACCATTTAAGATAGCTGTGTAAACATTTTCTGTCCTATCATTTGCAAAAAGACTTCATATATAGTTTTAAATGCGTTATTGGGAACATTTTTAGGGCTGTATCAAACATAATCTAGAAATATTTCAATTTCAATATCATCCCATGATGAGATACGATAGCATGCAATACCTCATGTCACCGTGACCACCTCATTCCTTGGTCGTCTCTTGTGACAAGCTTTGGTTCATGCAGACCTATGTTCTTACCCGGAATCCCAACGAATGATCTAAGGCTTCTTTACCCCATAACCCTAGAAGCATTTGTTGCAAGCTTTAAAAACTTGGCAATGTAATTCCAACAGAGCATCTAACGGTAAACGTCATAAGCTAAATATTCAAAGTAATATTTTAATAATAATATCACTCAGAAGTCTCTAAACAATACCTAGACAGATCATTTTAGCTTAAAATATGTTGTCGCTACAATGATGATGTAGGTATGTACTTCTTATAGCATGAGATGTAGTTCACCAGTGCTCTAAATATAACGCTTATCACCTTGTGCACATGTAGTTTGAATATACCAGTTCTAACACGTCTATTCGAAAGTGCAAAGTGTAATTCAGGTCATACACGTTACCTAGTGAAGGTAGAGAGGGAGGTATACTTTGCAGAAAAGACAGGTAAGAGTTCGTTTGTGTTTGTATGTGGTTTTGATGTAGTCCAGATATACTATTAAAAGAGAACAGGTAATGAACTATGAGGAATTAAGAGTAATCTATCCTGACAGAATGAATGTATCGAGCCTGTGGTTGGCTACATATTCACAAGGGACAGGTAACCGCAATTCCGCAAGTTTCCATATTATTACATGTCATATTAGGGGAAAACATATCAATAACGTATGAGGTGAGGTGACATTGGGTTTTACGTCGTGCTTGAGAATATTTCGCTTGAGACGACGTGCATGCGTGTGTATGTGTATGTGCGGCTGCTTGTACTAGCCAAGACTTAAGCTGGTTTTATAGTGCTAGCCAACTGAGATACCATGTCGCAGTGAAGCATGAATACCACACTCAGACACATTATACTGACCCCGAGCCGACCAGTCCTTGTTGTACCCATTACTGCCGAGCGCCAGGCAGGGACCAACAAGTACCATATTTTAACGTCTTTTGGTATGACGCGGTCGGGGATCAAATCCGCGACCTTCCGCTCTCCGGGAGGACGCTCTAACCACTACACCACGTAGGCGGTCTTTATGTCATTATGAAAGTATGAAAGGTAAACATTGGAGTGACACTGATGTCAGGGTACTGCTCAGATGATGTTGGAGGAAGAGTGATAAATGCTCGTGTATTCGAACAGTAGATTTATGATGACTATGGTTCCTTATTTGTCAGCGTAATTCCAGTGGTCGTATGTGTAGAGTAAAGTTTTAAACGCTCATGATCTGCATCACTTTGTGGTTGTTCTCTCACATGAAGCTGCCGAGCCGTAATGTAACTGAAATACTGTTGAAAGAGGCGTTAAACGCTCAGATCACCAATTAATTGAGAATCACGCAAATGTCGTGTGTAACGTGCATCAATTGGAAACAGTGTCCCAAGACTCCAGTTGAAAACTGTCCTGCTACTAGGTTCTTTCAAACTTTACAACATTTTGACGAAATCTTTATTGGGTCTTTTATATCTTTATTCGGCCTAGACCGCCAGGGAGACAGATTGCTAAGGACCAAACAAGTGAAGGGTCAAGATTTCTCCATTTCTGGTGTCTCCCGCCGTGATGTTGCTGGAATATTGCTAAAAGCGGCGTAAAACCGGGAGTAAATATTGGTGAGTAATACGCTTCATTATCAGCCATGCTCCTCCAAATCCACGTTGCCTCTTATCATTTATCTACACTGACTACGCTTAGCTCACATCTAGCACAAGATGTGTCCCTTATCTAGGGTTCTATTCATAGTATTTAACAGTCGTGATATGACTCATACCCTTGACATAGTAAAACAACCATAAGGTCAGTTCGTGGTGAGGTGAAGTAAGGTTTAACGTCACGCTTAAGCTTATTGCGCACATATAGCAACGTGCTTGTATATGTGTGTGCGTGGCTTTTGAATAACCTACTGAGGACACGGTGGGCTGACTACGGGCCTGACAGGTTTTGTTTTATCCCCTTCACCTGAAAAACAAAACATTTTAATGTCATTTGGTGTGGCGCCGTAGGGAATCGAACCACCAGGCTCCAGCTCTTCGGCCAAACCCTCAATCCACACAGGAGATTTGATAGATACGTTAGTGTTGCTCTCACTGGTGAAAATGTCAGTGTGACTGTACACTTGTTGTTGTGCAGGGAGTCAAGGTCCATCCGGACCTCAACCACGCCGCAATGGCTAAGTGGGTTAGACGACTGAGTTTGTGTGCCGGCGTTTAGGTGACTGACTCTGGGAGTGAGGGTGCGAATCCCGTGCAAAACCAACAAAACTACTAGAATCTGCACTTCACTGAGAAAATGTAATCCAAATAGAACATGTGTTACATTTTTGTAGCAGTTTTGCGTTTTACTAAAACATCTGACCTCGCCTGGCACAGAGGCAGCTACTTTATGGACTGTTAAATGTCCAGAGAGTTACATACGTATCGCCAACAGAGTTACATACGTATCGCCAACAAAATATAAACATAAATAGTATTATATCTAAGGGCGTTTTGAAAATGCGTTATTGTCTTTTTACAAAGACTTTCTTGAGACTTGTAAATCGATAACTCAAATTATATGTCTTTGACATGTATTTCATTCGAAGTGAGTTTGCTGCAAGTGTTACTCGAAAAGTTTATATACTACTGGAATAAAATAACTGTGCATAATTTGATGTTATGCCACTTTTTAATGCAAAAAGATTATAACATGATATGTAGTGTTTTCCTTAGCCACTGTTTAACAGGATAATATCGAAATCTGTATGATTTGACACCAGACATCATGACACGCCCTTGAAGAGATGTGGTGTCAAAAGTAATTTCACAAATCCAGTATCGTGTGCGTCCACCATTGGCGTTGATGCAGGCTTGATAATGACGACGCAAAGACGACACTAAGCGATTGAAAAAAGCTTTGGGAATGTTGTTCAATGTCTGAACCAACGCTTGTCCCAATTCAGCTTACGTCAATGGCTAATTCTGGGCTCGGCGTTAACGTCGTTCCATCTCATCCCAAGCGTGCTCGATACGGGACAGGTCCAGAGAAACAGCTGGTCAGGTCAATACCGGAATGTTTTGTTGTCTCAGGAAATCTGTCACAACACGAGCGACATGTGGACCGGCATTATCTTGCTGAAGCGTGTACTACGTCCTTGAATGAACGGCTGCACATGTGGACCGGCATTATCTTGCTGAAGCGTGTACTACGTCTCTGTCCTTGAATAAACGGCTGCACATGAGGCCCAATGGTGTCATCCCTGTATCGCAGACCTGTCAGATGCCATTGACAATGACAAGTTGTGTCCAACCATGAGACGTGATGTTTCCCCATACAATATCTAAACTGTCGACGTTGAATACGCACGCTTCAACATACCGTTGCCTTTCTCTTAAGGGTCGTCGGGGCAGGATGTTATGCTCCGTATAAAATGTGGCAATGTGTATGTCATAGATTTCGTCCGTGGGAGCCTTGACAATTAACACTTATCAGAGGGGTACACAAAGTCCGCAGTCTAGACTACCAGTTGTCCGACTTCCATTTTTGTGGAAGCCGCGGGGGGCTGAGCGGTCTATCTAGGCGTCTGACTTTGTGCGCTGGTGATTAGGTGCCTGACTCTGAGGGTGTGGGTTCGAATCCCGGATGGGACTCAACCCCAAAATAGTCCTAGAATCTGTACTATACTAAGAAAGTGCAATCCCAAATATAACATATGCTACATTTGACCACTTTCTAAAATGGCAATGTGTATTTCATAGCTTTCGGCCGTGGGAGCCGTGCCAATTAACACTTATCAGAGGGGTAAACAAAGTCCGCAGTCTAGACTACCAGTTGTCCGACTTCCATTTTTGTGGAGGTCGCGGGGGGCTGAGCGGTCTATCTAGGCGTCTGACTTTGTGTCCTGGCGATTAGATGCCTGACTCTGAGGGTGTGGGTTCGAATCCCGGATGGGACTCAACCCAAAAATAGTCCTAGAATCTGTACTGTACTAAGAAAGTGCAATCCCAAATATAACATATGCTACATAGTTCTGTCTCTGTTGAGCATTAGTATTTGTGTACAGCGCAGCAGATGCTTGCTATAGTAGCGATGATTTTCGATTGATTCGCCAAAAACAATGTAGCTCACCTCATTCATCTTTATAGTGAAATTGATGAGGTTCGTTTTCGAAACGTTTATACATAATATTGTCTTTTTTGACATCAAGTAATGTACATTTATCTTGGCCGCTCACACAAAGTCATTAAGCGCTACTGAGATCGTCACTGTAACGATCCCATACGTTTACATTACGGAATGTCCTCAGAGCATTCACTATTTTACTCCAGAACAAGATAACGACACTAGCTCATGGCCTACGATCTGATTGGGGACCATGTTTTGGGGTGAGTGCTTTATTGACAACTGGACACAAAGTCTTATGGCTTATGGTTGAAAAATCTTTATTGAAAGTAATGATCAAAAGTTGACAAGATACGGAAGAAAAACGAGGAAGTTCCTGCGATATATCTATGTACAGATGGGGGTGGGGGACGATATTTAAGAAAACAACACGGTGTATGGAAACGTATTCCGGATAAAACATATTATTTTGGGTAGTAATTACTCCACAAATGTATCTTGAGCCAAGTGTGACATACATATTCATTTCATCCGACCCATGGTTCAACCGGATGTCTGTGGAGTGATGTAAGTAATGGCGATGGTGCCAGACCTGTCAATATAATGTAAGACACCATCAGAATCGCAGACTATACTGTCAGACGGCAAATCATTGGTTGGTTCAGTTTCATCAGGAAGTGAAACGCAATCTGCATAGCCATCATGACTATACACTGCAGAGTCTCCTCGATCATTTCTCTGTAAAATGTTGATGTTATTGTCAGACTGCATACCATCTTGTTGGACTTGCGAACAGCTATTGTCCAAGTCAGAATCGTCGATAGAATAGTATCTATGTCCCTCGTTGAGATGTACGTCCTGTTCGGTATCATCTTCTTCCTGCACATGTTCGTTCGTCCCTGTATCTCCATGCCTGTGGACATACAACTAGGAATATTACATACTGCAAGCTGCAACTTAAACACCCATACCACCACAACCACTCACGTTGTCACTCGATGCGACTAAATAAAAAGTGATTCCACCCGATCAGTTTCATAGAATCAGTCACTGGTTCGTCTAGTCCAGACCCGATTAGTTACACAGTATTACAGAAGTCATACACAGGGTATTGCGGATTGCTGCCTTGAATACAAAAATCGTTTTAAATGGTTTAGGATTAACTATTGATCAATGGCGATGTGAACACAAAGCATATTGGGACGTAACAATATGAAATCATGACTTCCATTTCAGTTTCAAAAATAAACAAAAAAAAGGGCACACCTGTTGATGAAGTGTTTCTTAATGGCGTGTCGACACTGAAAACAGATTAGTGCTGCGACAACGACAAACAGACTTGATACTGCTATGTTCAGTGTTCCACTTGAAACCATTGACACAGGCCCTGCAAAATAATTCCTTACATGAGTACTTATGTTGATATAGGTGTAAGGGTACGCGGGTGGCTACGATAACACAGGTAAGGGGTACTTCTTAGGTCGATTCCTGTCATTATGGGAATGATTATTAGATTCGTAGTATTTATGATTAGGGACTATTGCAAATTAGATGTTGGAAATCGGTACCTATGATGGCTTTCACGAAAATGTATTTTAAGTCTTATACATCAAATACATGTAATGTGCTCTAACCATCTGGTTTGTCTGTAGATCCACATGGCAGCTGACATACATCTCCACACATTCCGTCGATGCAATCGCAAGTCCCATCATTGATGTTACAGGTTCCGTTCGCACAATTCTCAGGGCATTTCATGTCACATGTAGGCCCATACTTACCGACCATGCAGCCATTAATGCAGACACCTGTTTTTACATCACATCCTCGTGCAGTGTCTATTTTGGTGCATCCTTCAGGGCAGGTGTTGCTACAAGATTCTCCCCATTCGTTCGGTAAACACGAAGAGAACGTCCTTTGGACTAAAATTACACGCATATACATTTTAAAGAACAGGCTGACATTCATGGCATTTGGTACGCGCAGCCATTTCTCGTAATATTCCTGAGGCAAAGGTGCATTTGGGTAATGCTGCTGTATTTATGCCAATGTAGTAGTTTCGAAGCTAGACAAAAATACTTTTCAGTTTGTATGGAAAATGGTAAATAGCTTTAGAGCATATTTAAAATCTGTCTTGTCGATGGTTAGGTTGGGAACGTTCATCTCCATTAATATACGTCCCAAGAGTTCACTGCATCAACCGTAGTCTGACGTTATATGAGGAAACCTGTAAATTGTTATTCTACACCTTGGTAATCATTGAAGATATGAATGACGCATTACCTTCCACTATAACGGTGGACGTGGGCGTGTGCTTACAGCTGCTTTCGTTACAGGTCGAATTGCATGTCTTTCCAACCCAGCCATTCTTGCAACCAGCGATGCACTGACCCGTCGTCAAGTTACACAGGCGACCACTTCTGTTGTTCCTACAATTGTTTGGACAAGTTCTGTTGCAGCATGTCCCCCAAGAGTGAGGTAAACAAATCCTGCCTGTAAGCAAACATTGAAAGAAAAATAGTTGTATCATCCTGTTGTAGAAAATGCTAATCCATATGTTTCAGTATACATGGAAATGGTGTGAACGTATATCAGCTCTTTAAATGCAAACGTTTCACCACAGCAATATGAAAGTGAGTGGGCATACCAAAGCGTATCATGTCAAGCATATTGTATGCTACCTTAAAGCATACATTGTGAGATTCTTGTATCACTGTAGCTATGTCATTGTTTGTAGACCGAAATATGTGCTTACCTCTGTCCCCTGACTGAATAGTGTTACTTGCTTTACATTCACAACGCAGGCCAAACCACCCATCAAGACATGTAGTATCCGAGCACGTTCCATTGTTGAAGCACCGAAATCCACGACACATTTGTTCACATGCAACGTCACAGTTTTCTCCCAAGAGACCATTTGAACATTTTGTGCAACTTCCGCTTGTGCGCTGGCATTCTAAGCAGTCTTCAGGACATGGGATTCTGCAACTCATCCCGTAGAACCCGTCAACACAACCTTCAGCGCACACAGTCCTCCCCGCGCTAGTTCTTTTGCATGAGTCACGAACACAGTTGACTAATTTTCCATTCAAACACGATGCTGCTGCGCCAACGCCGCTCACTAAAAATATATAAACTCATTACTAGGGTATGTTCATATATATTCATTATATTGGTTTGTCAAAAGTAAAACATTATAATTTGTATTTGCATTCTTTGCAGCCACTCCAATGTGCTGATCATGACAATGCAAATTTACACAGCTGAATGCACCGTATGGTGCAAATAGGCGCAAAAACAATACTATAGTGATACAAATTAAGCTTCATTTTAGAGTCGCCTTTGTAAGTAATGTAGCTTAATCACTGAGATATATCAACTCAGGGGGGCGGGGTAGGGGGGAGTCTAAAAGGGTCCGATTTATTGTGTGATAACTGTGATGACAATGCATGAGTATACCGGCAAATGTGGGCATTAGATATATTATCAGTGCAATGAAGGCAGCTCAGACAATGTCCCAACCTAGACTTATTTGAAAAAATATATAGATCCCACTAAAACAAACTTACCAAACATTAGTAATCCTCCGGTCGGGATTATCCACAGCAACAAATATCCAGTTCCCGTGACAACCATTGTCATGTATATCTAGATCTGGAATGAAAATATTTAATGTAAAATACGCTGATGAATGAATAATAATGATAAGTGTGAAAAAACTGATTTAGACAACAGTAAGTCAACTAAAACAAAAGAGGGAAAAATAGTGTTAGGGAACTAAGGTGCTTCAAAAATTTGTAAAATATAAAACACTTATAGGCTACGCCCATAAAAGCTGACATGACAATAAAATATTATCCAAAGCTACTTGCAAACAAACTCGTTCCCTAACTCCAGTGAGGTGAGTTCTCCGTACAGAGGAGCATCCCTCTCTGAGATGCAAAAATGTGTAGATTCGTGACCCCAGCTCATCCTGACTGTGAGTCCTGGTTTGTCATCATGGTGCCTATTCTCGAAAGTGTCCCAGCTAAGACAGATCATAACTAGTTATGACAGGAGTTAGGACATCCTACCGTTAGGATAAGACCTATTCTCGAAACGATCCTATCCCTGTCCTAACTTGTGCCACCTATCCCAGCTTGGACAGCGAGCTCTTCAGTAGGTGAGATAAAAAACCTTCATTAAGTTGGGCATTCTCCTAAATATTACCCCATGATTCATTCCACGAAAAACACATATATAAGACACAACTACAATCTCGTTTACAAGATAAACGGAAAGACTAGAAATCAATGTTAAGAGCTTGAAAGCGGTGAAATTCCGCTTTTGGTGGACTAAGTAGATCTAGATTAAATTATGATTAATTCTAGTTATAATTAAAAATCATATCTGAGTGAACTCGTACTCGAATAGATTCAAAATATATAATGAGATTTGTTCGAATTACCATTCTTCCAGAAAATATATATTGTTATATGTTAATGTATTCCATATTTTCATCACTTAATAATAGTTAACGACGTTTTTAAAATTCATTTATTTAAGAAGGAGATAACATTTTTCTTCAGAGTCAAATCTGCCAAAAAAGCAATAAGATATGTTCAAAACATATTTTCATTTTTCTTCGTTTTTAAAAATCAAAACCATGACTTGAACTCCCATTATGCGTCACAAAGTAAAAATGCACCTATTAAATAAACAGGAGTTTCTTCCCTTATCAAGTTGGCCTTGACATTGACATTTCACAGCAATGTGACAGAAAAGAGAAATGTTGTGAATAAAAAGGGATTAAAACAGGTAAGAATTGAACCTATTGGAGACCTAAAGAATATGTGTATTGCAACAATTATGTCTATTCATTACCGATAAATTGATAATATACACTAAAAAAACTCTTCTTAACTCATCACAACTGTGTGCTGTTGTAAATTCAAAAGTAATTTAGGCGAGTTATTTGTTTGACAACGTAATATTGGTGAACCACACCATGTTGATTTCCACTAAAATAGACCTAGGACAAGTCAGAACCTATCCTAGTATTTGTCCTAAGTTAGGATATACTTTTCGAGAATAAGGTAGGACGCCTATCCTAGACATTAGGATCAAAGTTAGGATATCCTAGGGCTAGGATCCTTTCGAGAATAGGGGCCCTGTTGGGTTTCTACAATGCCGTTACATCAATGATACCCACATCACCCCTGCTTTCCTCTCACATCATGCTGTCACCATAATATACAAATGCTGGACCAGGAACGCACCATGATCAGGCCTCTAAAGGGGTTATGACAAATAGGAAGAACACGCACGCACATACACACGCACGCAGGCACACACGCTCACTCACTCGCTCGTTCGTTCGCACACGCACACGTACCTTAAATGTCAGTTAACGTATTCACTCCGTTGTACGATGTCTGGTCAGCATGTCCTGAGCTTGTCAAAAACAACAGCATATGTTGCCCCCTGCTACCCAGGAGCGCGGACACAAGAAAGAGGGTTAATGCCGTCATTGGTAAAAGGAATCACACAGGATATTGACAGTTTCGTACAGGAAGTGGTGTTTTGTCGATAACAGTCATTTTCATCAGCAACAAATCATCCACATCTGACTAGAAGCTCCCGGCAGTCACGTATCATTTCTTATTATAGAATCACATTTTACTGAACTTTGTTAGGAGTCTATAACATTAAGTTGACCCAGAAACGTAACATTGAAATGATATGAATTCACAGGCGCATCATAAAATTAACCAGGCATACAAATAAAAATAATAACTTCAAAGTAATTACAATGGCAGTACACAATAGAATGTAAGTACAAAATTCAATAAGAGTTCTATCACAATGGCACTGTTGTTGTGGGGCCGTGTTTTGCGTTGAATAACAATCTTCCAAGTGTATAACATTGTGAAGGATGGGGGCAGTGGTGTGCTATATTTAGAGTTCTGGAAGGTACTACAGAGTGGAACAACACTGTGGGCCTTTCCACTATATTCTGACACAGTGAGTGAAAGAGTATGAGTCTTTTTCTAAGGTATATGAGGGCACATAATTCTGCTTCTCATCTCAAGTGACATCGAAAGTTACAAGAACACCAAATCGTTTTAACCCTGAACAATAAGATAATCAGCCTTGACCGATTTTGGAAAATATTGTTGACTATTGTTGCCGTGATATTACCATCATCGTCTTTATTGTCATAATCACTGTGTTTGTAATATAATGTCTATGAATGTGCACTGCCACAGTAATACATTTCGGGTGATTTGTGTTAATGTGTAAACCTAGTTAATTTTAGAACATAATTTGTAATTATATCACATTGCTTTGTTTTTGTTGGTTTGGTGATTTTTGCTTTAACTTTGGTTTCAACAAACATAGGTTGCTGAAGACGGGTTAACTTCAGGTGATAAAGGCAAAAGGTATGTTTTTCCATGTGATATATGTTATATGTTAGGAAAACAATTAACTGAACTTTGACTAATCCAAATGATTTACAGCCACACCCGTGTTTTTGGTAAACCAGACATTAGAACACACCTACTGAGCAGACATTAAAACAGTGTGAGAAGATTAAAATACTCATGCTTGGTGATAACATGTATCGAATCGTGATATCGAATATTAAAAGAATTACATTTTACTTTTCCAATCAGAAGAACCCACATGGAGTACAAATATCTGCTTAATATTGTCAAAATAGTATTGGAATACGACTTACCGCTGTGCCGTTGAACGTGCCCTACATGAACAGCATTTGTAATATTTCCTGTTATTTACATCGCGTCCGCGCCTCGAACCAGGAAAGTGAAACGTCAAATTTAATTGGAAATAGATATAAATATGTAATATATGGCATCTGAAATCAAATTTGGCAAATAAAATATTTCTTATTATTTTAGTACTCTTTTAAAGCAAATCTTGCATTTGACTACTTTCTGGAAGGAGTTATGCGCACAGGACCACATATTAGCCCTTGCATAGTCACACGGCACGATGTTAGGACCCCGTCGGTATTAAAAGTTGCACTTGATTCTGAATAATAAACGCAGCGTTCAAAATCCGATCAAGGTTTTCACCTTCATGTTCTATGAATCCTTAAAATACTATCCACAAACACAAGTTATACTTTACTTCAGTAATCCAACGACCGAACGTCATAAGTGATATTTGTATACAGCTTCAAATCACACTTCCTTATGTGGCCTCAAATCACACATTGAAAACTTCAAAGGCCTGCTTTTATATAAGTATTTGTTTATAGATTTTACTGTAGTTTTGACTATTTTTAACAGACACGCATGTTGCAAGGTAGCGTCCCTCACTCACAACCTAATTGTGTGAATGGAAGATGAAGATATCACTTGAATACCTTTCTAACTTTTGTAACCTACACATATGTTCTTGGTTAGCAATGGGACTAAAAAAACTCTATAAACCCCTGGGCAAGAAGTTCTTCTTCTTCTTCTTCTTCTTCTTCTGCTTCTTCTTGTGGCTTCAGATGTAATATGAGACGAGGGGGAATTTGCGCACTCCCTTTGTATACCTAGGAAATAGTCTAGCAATTTCAATATTAGTCTCAAATGCAGATGATTCTAGAATAGGTGCCCTCTAGATCTTTTCAAATCATTCTGTATCATTATAAATCTCGCATAGTCTAAATATAGCACAACATCGCCCCTCATTAAATATCACTTGCACAATGTATAGCACTGCCATAGGACAAGTCTGAAGTATTGTACTTTGAAGATAATTTTAATTTTGTTTGTTGTTTTACTCAGGACTCAGGACTCAGGATCTCCAGTTATATGGTGAGATCAATTTAAAGAATATCAATAATATAATTGTAAGCTAGAGAGGGTGTCATATTTTAACTGATTATTCTATAGGCAGATGTTCAATTGACATTGTAAAGGAGAATTTTAAACTCATATGCATGTAATTCAGGCAGTATGATTATTTGATGAAGAGAGTACGTGAGTTTCTTGCTGTTTGCCTGATTTCAGTAAGTCATTTAAAAACGGCATGGATCCTCTTCAGGCATTAATCCCACTGCAATGAGTGAGGATATCATCGATGTAAGCGTCAACATCCCCAATAATGCCGGCAATGGCATTGATGAGACGTTGGCAGGTAGTTGGAGTGTTCTTTAGCCAAGATGGCATTTGTTTGCATTGGGCCTTCTGATGTCACAAAAGCTGAGATTTACTTGGCATGCTTAATCAATTGAACCTGCCAATACCCCTTCATTAGATCAAAGTTGCTGAGGTACTCGGCTTGACCAATTCTGTCGATGAAGACATCGATTCTTGGTATTGAGTAAGAGTCTATAGAAGACAAAATAATGTAAAAACAGGCTGTAAAATCAGTTGCCAACGACTGAAAGTAGATCACCATACTACGGACCATGAGGACTTGCAGTGTCTTTGCTACCTGCATTGACCCTAGCTGGATTGATATCACCCCTTCAGCCGTTGGCGAGTGTAGGCAAATTTAGCCATACTTTAAACTGGCAAAGATACTACGTAATAAAAATCTGGTACTGTTAAATTTACTTTTAATGTTACGGGACTTACGTACCCTCTTATGATGACAATAATTTTATAATACATTAAGCTCCTTTGAGGATACAGCCACTAACAATCTCAGTTACTAACTTAAACATCGAATGAAAAAATAAATCTATCTACAATACACATTAATCAAAGATTTTCAATTAGTTCTATTTCTTGTAAAACATCAATATATAAATGACAATTTACAAATACTAAAAACATCCTCTACTGTTTTTGCACTTGAAATATACTACCCATCAAAAGAAATATTTATCCCTTGTGATGGAAACTTCAATACAGTTAAGCAGGACATTCCTGACCGCGATTCTTTCTTTCATCACACGGGATGCAAAATGGAGGAACCTCCCATTTTAGGTTTTCGTCTTGTATGGCAAATGCGACAAATCTGGACTGACTGCCCAAGTAGTTATAACCCATAGTTGGCTTGATTTAATGTACTTTATGGATACCTACCTGGTTGTCCCACTTCTTCCGCATCAGATCACGGACGTAAGATCTAATGATAGCTTTGTAATCAGAGTATGGAATGAGAAGTAGTGTCACAGATTTGTTGAGTGCTGCCTTAACAGCAAAATCAGCCATTGTGTTTCAAGAATGCCAACGTGGGTGGGTACCCAACAGGACGCCAGTAGCAAGGTCATTATATAATTTCGATTAAGAGTGGATGTTTACAAGATACATTTTTCATAGCCTGAAGGCACAAACATGAGTCTGAAAAGGGTATATATATTTTTATATTTAGTGTGTTTTTAATATACACTCAGTCAAAAACTTGGTGATAACATGTATCGAATCGTGATATCGGATATTAAAAGAATTACATTTTACTTTTCCAATCAGAAGAACCCACATGGAGTACAAATATCTGCTTAATATAGTCAAAATGAGTATTGAATACGACTTACCGCCGTGCCGTTGAACGTGCCCTGCATGAACAGCATTTGTAATATTTCCTGTTAATTACATCGCGTCCGCGCCTCGAACCAGGGAAAGTGAAACGTCAAATTTAATTGGAAATAGATATAAATATGTAATATATGGCATCTGAAATCAAATTTGGCAAATAAAATATTTTTGTTATTTTAGTACTTTAAAGCAAATCTTGCATTTGACTACTTTCTGAAGAGTTATGCTCTTATGAAACGTTTGCGCACAGGACCACATATTAGCCCTTGCATAGTCACACGGCAAGATGTTAGGTCCCCGTCAGTACTAAAAGTTGCACTTTGATTCTGAATAATAAACGCTACGTTCAAAATCCGATCAAGGTTTTCAACTTCATGTTCTAGGAATCCTTAAAAATACTCATCCACAAACACAAGTTATACTTTTACTTCAGTAATCCAACGACCGAACGTGATAAGTGAATATTTGTGATACAGCTTCAAATCACACTTCCTTATGTGGCCCTCAAATCACACGTTGAAAAACTCCAAAGGCCTGCTTTTATATAAGTATTTTTTTATAGATTGTACAGGAGTAGCACTGACTATTTTTAACAGACACGCATGTTGCAAGGTAGTGTCCTCACACACAACCCTAATTGTATGAATGGAAGATGAATATATCACTTGAATACCTTTCTAACTTTGTAACCTACACATATGTTCTTTGTTAGCAATGGGACTAAAAAACTCTATAAACCTGGGCAAGAAGTTCTTCTTCTTCTTCTTCTTGTGGCTTCAGATGTTATATATGAGACGAGGGGAATTTTATGCACTCCTTTGTGTATACCTAGGAAATAGTCTAGCAATTTCCAATATTAGTCCTCAAATGTAATGCCGGCAATGGCATTGATGAGACATTGGCAGGTAGTTGGTATGTTCTTTAGCCAAGATGGCATTTGTTTGCATTAGTCCTTCTGATGTCACAAAAGCTGAAATTTACTTGGCATGCTTAATCAGTTGAACCTGCTAATACCCCTTCATTAGATCAAAGTTGCTGACATACTCGGCTTGACAATTTCTGTCGATGAAGACATCGATTCTTGAAATTGAGTAAGAGTCTATAGAAGACAAAATAATGTAAAAACAGGCTATCAGTTGCCAACGACTGAAAGTAGATCACCATACTACGGACCATGAGGACTTGCAGTGTCTTTGCTACCTGCATTGACCCTAGCTGGATTGATATCACCCCTTCAGCCGTTGGCGAGTGTAGGCAAATTTAGCCATACTTTAAAATGACAAAGATACTACGTAATAAAAATCTGGTACTGTTAAATTTACTTTTAATGTTACGGGACTTACGTACCCTCTTATGATGACAATAATTTTATAATACATTAAGCTCCTTTGAGGATACAGCCACTAACAATCTCAGTTACTAACTTAAACGTCGAATGAAAAAATAAATCTAAAATACACACTAATCAAAGATTTTCAATTAGTTCTATTTCTTGTAAAACATCAATATATAAATGACAATTTACAAATACTAAAAACATCCTCTACTGTTTTTGCACTGAAATATATATCCCTTGTGATGGAAACTTCAATACAGTTAAGCAGAGCATTCCTGGCCGCGATTCTTTCTTTCATCACATGGGATGCAAAATGGAGGATCCTCCCATTTTAGGTGTTCATCTTTTATGGCAAATGCGACAAATCTGGACTGACTGCCCAAGTAGTTATAACCCATAGTTGGCTCTATTTAATGTAATTTATGGATACCTACATGGGTGTCCCACTTCTTCCGCATCAGATCACGGACGTAAGATCTAATGATAACTTTGTAATCAGAGTATGGAATGAGAAGTAGTGTCACAGATTTATGAGTGCTGCCTTAACAGCAAAATCAGCCATTGTGTTTCAAGAATGCCAACGTGGCTGGGTTACCCAATAGGACGCCAGTAGCAAGATCATTATATAATTTCGATTAAGAGTGGATGTTTACAAGATACATTTTTAATAGTCTGAAGGCACAAACGTGAGTCTGAAAAGGGTATATATCTTTTTATATTTAGTGTGTTTTTTAATATATTTAAGAGCTGTTAATATGCTTCTGCTTCTGAGTTGTTATCTGGAATTCTAGAAGATATTGTTCTGGATCCAGTGACAGTGGCAACTGCGCTACCATCCTTGGACCCATCTGTAAATAAAGATTTGTATGTATTATATTAACTTTTTAATTGATTTAATTCCTGTTTATATTGTAGTTCAGTAGCTTCGATTTTTTTTAAATGTTGCCCGTGTAAGGTCAACTTGTGGCCTCACTAACTGCCAAGAGGGTGCAACCGGGAAGGAGATATATTATCCAGCTCAATGCCAGCATCAGAGAGGTTTGCCTCTTATTCCTAGAGGCAGGATAAGAGAAGACTTCTTGTTGTACAGATCCTCGTAGAGGGAATTAAAGGCAGTTATATGCTGGCTTGTACTGATTAGAATGAAGTTTTGTGAGGTACTTCGAAGATGGTTTGATACGGCGTTGGTTAAGAGAAGTCTCGTCTGCTTTAACATAAAGACTGTCAATAGGAGAAGTTCGGAAAGAAAAGTCTTAGACCTTGGTGTTGGATAGAAGCAAGTATTTTGATGTTGCTTTTACAGGCTCCATCATATACGATGGAGCCGTAATCAGGTTTCGAGCGGATGACTCATCTGTATAAGCGTAGGAGGTTAGTTTGGTCCCCTCCCCACTTCGAATTGGAAACAACTTTCAACAAGTCAAGTGCTTTCAGGCTTTCATCTTTAAGTTTTTAAATATGTGGTAAAAACGTTGTATGAGAGTAAGAATAAGACCCAAGACCTTGGCCTCCTTTACAACTTTGATGAGGGTGCCATTTAAATAGGTATGGGTCTTTATGCGGTTTATATTGTTTTCAATTGACCATTTATGTTGATATAATGCCTCTCTATTGTATGCATATTTTTACCACGACAACAAACATTAAAATCATCCTCGAAAAGTGATCCATTTACTGAATCAGTTCAAACCTGTTACAGGCAAAATAATGCCTTTTGGGACATCCTGATCCTGACTGTAATGATCAGGCAGGGTTGAGGCCCTTGCACTTGAAATTTCCTGTCTGTTAAAAACTGTGATATAAAAGAGGTAAACGACCTCTCAAACCAAAATCACGTAAATCCTTTAAAATACCGTATTTTCGAGTAGTATCATAGGCTCTCTCAAGATCAAAGAAAATTTACACTACGTGTTGTTTAGATACTATGTCATTTTTAACAAAAGATTCTGATCCTACTTAATGATAAGTAGTACTCCGATCTTTCCGGAAACCACATTGTATGTTTGTAATTAAGGTATTGGTTTCCAGATACCAAATTAATGCTATTTACCATTCGTTCCATGGTTTTACAAATACAACTAAAGTCCATATTTTATCAAATATATCTAGAAGTGTTTCCAGACATGGTTCAGGTAAATGCTTCAGGAGTTGATAGTGAATATTATCAGACCCTTTTGCTGTATCATGAGCCTGCTGGAGGGCGCTATGGGGCTCATGTAATGAAAATAATTCATTATAATCTTCACCATTGTCTGAGTTTAAATTTATTGTTTTCTTCTCCTGTTGTTTCTGATGTCTTTTAAACCGAGTGACATTTAATTTGACGAAGAAGAATGTTTGGCGAGAGTTCACCAAGCTAACTGGCAATGTCAACCTTATTAAAATATATTGTCGCCATCCTTCAGATGGTGAACAGGTGATTTTGAACCTTTGCCCTTTATGTTTTTGGACCATGTTTCACATCTTTGAAATCGGTGTGCGTGATTGGAACATAGTTCGTCCATAACTGATGCTAATTCTGTTTAAATGCGCGTCGAGCCTGGGTATTAACTTGACAAGTTTAACTTTATTTAAATTAGGCACTGTAGAATGACTGCGATAATACATTTTGGCTTTCTTCCTACATTTTCTGGCCTGTGTACATTCATTATTAAACCATCGTTTACGGATATGTGGAATTGCAGAGGACTTTGGTATAGTTTGCTGAGCAATGTTGTTTAGTATATCTGAAAACAACTGTATAGGATCTTCGCTATTCCCAAAAACATCATGTTTGAAGTGATCAGTGCTTGTATAATGACCAGTCAGCCTTGGTGAAGTTCCTTCTTGATAAAGGCGGATCATCACCAGGGTAGATTGTTTTGAGAATGGTGGGAAAGTGATCACTCCCACATCGGTCATCATGGACTATCCTTTAAAATTCATTATACAAGATGGAGTACCAGATTTTGGAAAGAATATGTTCCAGTAGCTGGATGTAAATATGTGATTGAATCATCGTTAAATATACATAGGGTATTATCTGGATTTTACCTTTACTGTTAGTATGGGCACTTCCCCAACGTGGGTTGTGACCGTTCAGATCGCCCATGATTAGGCATGGCTTCGAAAGCGGATCATATAGATTTGAAGATCCGACTGTCGAATATAAGATTTACACAATTGTGAATGCAATGTGCAGTGTAAAAGAACAGCTACAGTTTGAAGATTTGTATTGAGGGGGATAGCGCTGTATTATACCCTGCCATACCAACATAGGCGCAAATCCAGTCGCTTTATCTCCTGCAGAGGAGAAGGAGTGATAATTACTGCAGTGCAGTAAATTAAAGGCGTCTGTATTTTTAGATATGTCTCTTGAACTTAATTTCTGTCTGAGACTGACATACAATAGAAGACATGCTGACACTTGTAACATCAGAGTCGATTGGGGATATACACATCCACCCTGATGTTAAAGTAACCTTCTTTGATAGATTGCAGAAGTGAAGATCTCGCAAAAGTCAACCGATAAGTATTAGTTTTAGTAAAGATTCCCCCCATCTTGATGGTGAAAAGTTTTACTGCCGTAACACCTTGGTCCTTAAGCTCTGTAGCAATGTCTTCTTCACTCATATCACACAGGCAGCATTCCCTGTCACGTATGATACCACGACAAGTATTTAGAGATCTGTGTTTAGACACAGCAACCTCAACATTTGCAAATGTTTTAATTGATAACGAATTGAAAGATTGCTGCCTACGTGCACATTCCACCAAAAGTAAACCAGTATGGAGACGAGTGACACTTTATACCTCACCACAAATCCCAGAGATAGCTTTTGAAATTGCAAACGGATTTTGTTTAATCGTCAGAAAGTCCATAACTAGGAATCGAACCCATGGTTCAACTTTTGCAGAATTATTGTATTATTATTGTTCAGACGCCTCTTCTTTTCATTACAAAATGAACCGACTTGTGGGGATGCCGCGATGAAATGAAAATAATTCGACATCGCTGCTCCCCACCCACCAGTGAGTGTCTTCCCCGGTTCCAGACGGGGGAAGAGCTATTAGCGTTACCCAGCACTCACCACGAGGATGCTATAGGCCACTGTTATGTAGTTTCTTTTTAATACATTACTGTGGATATGCCATCAAATGAAAATATGTTATAATCTACAAAAGTCTTATATCATATTTCAGTAGCTGAAGACGATATGCAGAGAAGCGTATTGAATTCAAATGAGACTCCAAGAGCATTTTGAGGTGTTCTTTCTACTACTCGCATCATCTGGTAAATATGGCCATATGTTAAGCTCCTTATGGTATTTATTAAAGAATACGCTTAACCAACTGTTGTATTCATTAGTGAGTGATATTCAGATTCAGTAAGCAAACAAGTGTAGTTTTCATAGCACGCTGGGCGAACGTTTTGTACACTTGGGTAATGGCTTTATAGTTACTTTAGTTTTACGCCGCACTCAGCAATATTCCAGCTATACGGCGGTGTGGCTTTATAAAAGACAAAGGTTCCTGAAATATATAATGCAATATGATTTGACACTTAATGAAGACAAGCTTAAATGTGGTTATTTTCAGAATGCAGACAGCAACACTGTGGTAAAAACAAGTGGGGACCTGACTGCAGCAAATCATGTCCTGAGAATTGCTTAGACCTCAAAGGTGTTGTCCACTGTCACATAAGCACGAGTGAATGCCTGGAAGGTTGTATAGCTGGCTGGTACGGAGATCTGTGCAACAGCAACTGCAATGTGAACTGTATAAGTAGAACATGTGACCAGGAAAATGGCAACTGCTCCTTAGGTTGTGAAGTTGGTTATGTTTGCAACATAACACCTGACAAAGGAGAAGCCCAGTGTGGTAGGTATACGGTTAAGTGTAGCCCAAAATGCCTTAGAAACTAAAATAGTTTAAGAAGGTGCCCCATGCAAATCTATGCATTGCACTCTGATGAACTATAATAGTGAGTACACTATGTAATTGCCAAATGCACTGCAAAAGAAACACAAAATCTAAAAGACATTTGAACATGCGTACATGTTCAAAATACATGTGAACACAATATTGAAGATGCAAGAATGTCTTATCTTTCTAACTGTACCATGTCCGTTAAAGTTCAAGATGAGCTTTCTGTCACATTCCAAAGTCAATATGGTGTTCCTCAGGGTTCTGTTCTCGTACCGCTCATACTAGTATTTACTTTATACATTCTCCCATCGGCGATATTATCAAGAAACATTCTTTGAACTTCCACCTCAAACTTTAGAACTATATATCAACATCGCAAGAGTTAAGTTGCATTGATGACATACGGCAATGGATGAGTCTAAATGACCTCAAACTGACTGACGTAAAGCCAGAGTTTTCATTCTCTGGGCCAGGCAACAGCTACGAAAACTTAATCATGGGTCCATTTGCAACGTCACGCAACGAGCTTTCTGACTGACTCTCCTCCGTCATTTTCCTCGAGGCGTGGCATGTCGAACATGTTCTAGAATGATAGAAGTGTCTTTTCCTGACTTCTGTATTTCTTAAGACTGCATGGAGTAGAAATGATAAGCATCTATAGTTGTGTGGAGTTTATAACGTGAACATTGCAGACAATTTATGTCACATATAGCATGTTCCTTCAACTACGTGGCCGCGTTTTGACGACCTATGAATATATCTCAGATTAATTATTTTTGAGAACCGAGGGTAAATAAATGCATCGAATCCTTGCCTAAAAATGTAGGTTAGGTCTGACAAAGTCATCAGCACAAACATTCACAAAAGTCAGTGGGATTGATCGCAAACATTTCATTCGCTGCAGTAGAAGTTTAATACTGATTCTGTTTGTTGTTTGTGTGACATAATTATTGCCTTTAACTAATATAATACCAGTAACACAAATTGCGCGTCTTGTTAGCAAATGTTGTTTAGCACTTCTATTCCCTGCCACGAAGTGGTAGTGGGGTGGGGGAATGGGTGCTGTCCTTCCAGATACCAGAGAATTACTTGATGAAACATTGATACAGGAACTGATAATTTTTTTTTTCACGACAGCAAATTCCAATCAATCTAAATTTTAACTCAATTATTTTCTCACTAATTCCTAATTATTTCCACCACTTTTTGTAAACCGCCAGTGTATCCAATAATATCCACACCTGCCAGCTATTTGTTTAAAGTAACACCATCCTGCAGGTGCACTAGTCAGCATGAAGTATTTCAGTTTTCAATTAAGTTTCACTTATCTCTTTAGAACCCTGTACTCAGCAGGTGGTTGTATGAATATTTAATGCTTGTCTTTTTCTGTTTGTAGAAAATTGCCAGCAGGAAAACGCCCTTGTGATATCATTGGGTGTAATACTACTTCTGATATGTTTTGTCATAAGCATCATTTGGTGAGTATGTTTTGTTCTCAGAGAGGGTAAAAGAGGGTCTCAGAGGATACTGTAAACGGTGGGTTATGAAATTCTACCTCGTCCTAGTCCTGACGTCAGGTCTTCCATCACACTTTTGGATGACGCAAAACATGATCGAACATGGTGTGTCAATTCTATCCGTTCTGCTTTAATGTAATGAACAATGCTCCCCCAGACGTTACGATTGACACTGAGAAGCCCTCTCATTTGCCTTCCTAGATTTGGTTGCCGAAGTTAATGCGATTGCTATTCAGAAACCTAGCGATGTCATCCACAGAAAAGGTTACGCGTGTTCATCACCTTCCTCAGCTACAGGAAGAGATTCATTCCTTGTGCAAAAGTCTCCACTATTGCCTCTTGACAGGAGACCCTTATCTCACAGAAGCCCACCAGAGACTGCTTCAAACATCATATTCAAGTGCCCATTGGCATCAGACCCTCCAGTGTCTAGATACAGGTCAGATGAAGTGACTAGTGATAAATGTGTGTTTTCTGTATATAAAGTGCTGAAACAGTCAGGACAGGAGACTTTGTATTGTGACCTATTTGCTACAGTATACACTATGCCAATAAGACTTGGGTTTTGAGACGGCAGCATCAACAATTATTGGTCGGACACAGTCGTCCACAATCAGAGATGGATCAAGACTGTTTGAATCAGTGGCCGGTTTGGACACTAACCAGTTTTCACCCCACAGCACAAGAGCTGGATCGACCTCCAAAGTTGTCTTCTAATGATGAATGTCTTGTGATGAAAGAAGCAGGATTTACACAGTCTGAAACATTTTCAAAAGCATGACAACAAAACTTGCAATCATGGTCTAAATTGTGTTTTGAGTGGCAGGAAATATGAGTTACCAAACAATTTAGGGGTTTCATCTAACTGAGCGTGTTTGAGAGTTGAAAAAGGCAATACTTAAACCGTTCTCTGTCTGAACGTTCTGGAACTTGAACATATACATATTTAAATCCTCGCGTGACTACGAAGTGATATCAAGACTAGGAGGTAGAGGTAGAATTTAATATTTAACAAGTGGATTGTGTTTCTCCCTAGTCACAGTCAGGAAGGCAGAATCCATATTCCCTCATGTTCCCATCTTCCGTACCCGTGAAGGTCCGGTGTTGTGGCCAAAGTCAACTAATTACTCAAAAAGAGAGAATCATTTTTCGTTTCCTTTAAGTTCCAAATTAGTATCATTCCCATTTCACGTAAGTTCCAAATTTAAATTCATATTTCATTTAAGATTCTAAGTTTTTGATAAAACCAGTCTAAAGTTACCCTTCCATATCTGTTAAGGGGAGGTAAATGCCTTGGGTCATGTATATCATGCCATGTGCTCGCAGCATACACATGCTCAAGTCACCAAGTCCACAAGCTATAGAGGTCTAAAACAATGGTAAGCCACTTACACTTTTGACTCAGACATAAAGTGGTTACCTTAAATGCAATAATGCTTTATGTAGATATATATTTAGCATGTTAAAGTTACAGTAGTTCTGTGATATCTATTCTGAGCACAGACACTTGTTTTCCCCATGTGTTGAGTATGTCATCATGTTAGCTCACCTTACCATACTTAACCTTTATGTTCATATGCTGTGGAGTTCTATTTAAGTGAAACTGGTTAACATTGAATTTTCATATGGTTAAATAGTAAGAGAGATTTTCATCTCTTTCTGAACTTTAAAGAATGTATCAAGAAATAAGAAGACAAGAATAAAGAATTAAGAAACAAGCCACTTGGTTATTACATCCGGGTTAGAATATTGATCTTCAGTAACCCATGCTTGTCGTAAGAGGTGACTAACGGGATCGGGTGGTCAGGCTCGCTGACTTGGTTGACACATGTCATGGTATCCCAGTTGTGTAGATCGATGCTCATGCTGTTGATCACTGGATTGTCTGGTTCAGACTCGATTATTTACAGACCGCCGCCATATAGATAGAATATTGCTGAGTGTGGCGTAAAACTATACTCAGTCACCCACTCCCACCTTCCCAGTTGATATCTGCTGTTGTACTATTACGGATGTGTTCAATCGTCATTAACAAATTGAAGATCTGAGCACGCGTCTTTCTCATGTCATTAGTGAGTTTGTTTCTGACAATAAATAATTTAATTATGACATTATCAGTGTCAGTTAACTGGTTAAAATGCATGTAAGATGTTTTGGTTGGCCTTTCTCCAAACCATGACCATTGTAAGATAGGCATTGTATGTGAACCAAACCAAATGAATATAAAGACATACTATCGAATCTTTATTTCATAATAGTAACACTATTTGATATTAACTTGGATGCAAACCTCTGACAACGAATAAAAGCCGAAAATACTATGGACCAATTGACTTAATGGTTAATGTTTCGTTTGGTATGACAGTGCTCGCAGGAAGTGCAGTTTATGCAAGAAACGACAACCCACTGAAAATAGGAAACTTCACTGCGGGAATCGTACGGACATGGAGGTAAACTGTTCTTGTTTGTGTTACAACAATATTTATCGTGTTACCTTGCATATATAAGCATGTTTTTTTAAATGATTTATAAAACAATCAAGGTTAACACACGCAAATCGTATTTGTGGGTGCACAGATGAAACATGATATAGAGAATCAATCACTACAACAAATAATCGGTCACACCTGCTTCAGATGTCAGTCAAGCCGTGTTGCGGACATTTAACAACGATATGGTTTTGGACATCCTGGGTTGTAAATAGGCATGGACATCAGCCGAAACGTATAAAGAAAACCCCCAAAGTACCCATTTAGTTGGACTTTTCAATTGAATGGGACTTTCATTATCAAAAGGGCATTACTTTTGTATGTCCGAAAGTGATTGGTATCTTCATAAATGTATGACGAATTTTAACTAACTTTCTGATTCTGGTTGATGTTAATACCATCAACCATTATTAATGCCACTCAGTGCAATATGCAAGCTATGTGGCATCAACAGAAATGATTGAGTCTGGTCCGGTTTATGATATTATGATAAATAAAAGTGACATAACCCTTGCATAATCATAAGGACATTTCAGTCCATTGTACCATTCTAATTGTATCATAAACACCATTAACCGTATGCACATCAATCATTATCAAATAATTTTGATACCCGTTGGTGAAGGACGAACTGCTCCACTGGTGGTGCACGACACCAACACATGCAAAGATACTTCAGTTGTCTTCAGTTTAGCAATATTACAGCAATATCTGGCGGGGGACACCAGAAATGGGCTTCACATTGTGTCCATGTGGGGAATCGAATCCGGGTCTTCGGTGTGACGAGCGAACGATTTAACCACAAGGCTAACGGCCTAAAATGAATACGCCAAGTTGGGAAATGTAAATAGCATGTCCAAATGAAAGCTGTGTTGTTTAGTAGCTTGTTCCTATGAGTCCTAATCATTGATCCCACCATTAAAGAGAGGAGGCGGTCTAACTGGTCTCTAGGTTTCAAGCTCAGGAGGGTAAAAGAGTTTGGGATTTGATTATTTAGCCATTATCGTTTCTTGTGTTGATTATACCAATACGAGCTGACATTCGTACATAAACACTCCCGCGTATTAATTACAGAAATACATACAAAATATGATTAGGAAGAAAGTGAACAAACTTGGCAATGGAGGTTCCTAATACCAACATAAATGTCCCATTCCAAAAATTCACATTAGTGTCATTCACGAAGAAGTTCACAAATTGTTTTCTCACGAAAATGGAATAACAATTTAATTCTTTCCACATTTTCCTGTAATTGTAACTGTGTACGCCAAATTTCCTAGCAAATCCCTCTTGGATGAGCAACGACCACGCCCTAAAGCCCATTTTGACATCCGGAATACAAATCAAAGTTACCAAACCTGTCTAGCCTAACCATATTATCGCCCCTTGCGACAAGAAGAAGCTATTTGTGTCATATAACAGTAATCCCCATCGGGTTAACTCGAAATGAGAACATTAGGTGCAACAGAATTCTCTGTAGCTAATCCATGGTCAATAGTATGGTGATCTACCTTCTGTTGTTGGCAGTCTATAGCCTGTTTTTACATTGTCTTATCATTTATAGTTAAAATGTTTGAGATTTCATTACTAGTTTTAGATGGATATCTGTGATAAACTAGTAGTTTTACTGTTCTTCGTCAACAGGCTTTTATTTTCTAAATTTATTGATCTATAATGTAATTATTAATTGTTCTCGTCACGATATGGCTGAAATATTGCCGATGTGACGATAAATATTAACTCACTCACTCACTCGCTCACTCACTCTGTAGCTAATTCCATCTGAAATGACATTTCAGTTACACGACAAAAACTCGGCTGGTACAGAGATGCTCCCTACTTCATGAGTGTTTGGTGAATATTGTTACCTTTGCTATGCTAAAACTTTCAACTTAATAACAAGCGCAAAATCATGTTCATTATGTACAAACTTATGTTTCTGCGTTCATTGATAAACTGATAATTACACATGGGCTCTGTTAATATAGTGTATATTGCCTTTTCTTGCACCAATATTAGAACATGTATAAAGGTGTCCTGTGACAGGTCGATTGACTGTTTACGAAACTGATAGTATGGCTTATTATTCGTACAGCGAAATTGCAAGGATATAATAAAACATAAAACAGTGTGGCTGGCTGTTTGAAACATGTCGTAGGACTACAATTCTAGTTAGCCGTTGATCATAAGTGCATTTCACTTAACAACTAAACGTGTACCTAAATTCACTGTCAACATTCCATTCAAGTAGAACTTCCTTCTGTTTCAGACCCGGATACCCGGCGCACACAATAATGTTACTGCTTATGCTTCTTATTCTCCAACGTAAGACCGACATTTCAGTATATGGAACTACGTATAAGGTCCAAATATGAACCAAAGTTACCGTTTATAACGGAATCACACAAAAGGAGATATAAAGCTCTTGAAGTCTTCATCTTCTATCAAAAGTGAATAAAGTACAATGATGACCTGAAAGTTTCACTATTTGTAATCAATGATGAATTTCGCATACGTTTTTCTGTGCAAAACGGCAGTTTTAGTGCCTTTACATTCATGTTTCTATTTCAGTGTATCTTCATGCACATGCACGGGACTTGTGTCAGAGCGACAAATATCGCAACTGTCTTCAAGGAAGCTGCACCAGGACATCGACCGGTAGAACTGAGTGTGCCGAGGGTTGTGTAAGAGGTTTCTGGGGAACCGGATGTCGCATTCCATGTCCTGAACACTGTGAGATGTGTGAACCGATATGAGGGAACATGCTTGATATGTTCTGGTGATGTATATGGAGACTACTGTAACAATACATGTGACGCCATATGCCACGGATTTCATTGTAACAAAGATGGAACCTGTTCTAACTCAACATGCCAGGACGGGTGGTATGGGCCTACCTGTAGCAATCAGTGCAACCAAACGTTCCTGAGATGTGGAAAACTGATGGGCAGTGTTTAGCATGTAAAGATGGCTTCTATGGGATGAACTGTGAGTTGGGATGTAACGAATATGGTCTTGCAGATATTCAGATGCAGCAAACGTGCTTACCTGGTTGTACAAACGATACACTAACCGATCATGGTGAGTACATATAAGGATTTCATCGATGAATACTGAATTCCAAATGACGTCAAAAGATTTACCGTTCATGTCGCTTAGCATCAAGGGAGTGAAACAAACAAACAAACAAACAAACACACACAAACATACGCACACTCGTCTGTGTATGTCAGTTTTATTTTGTGGCGAAAAACCCAAGATGAGGTAAATGAGAAGGGTAAAACACACACATACGCACGCACGCACGCACCGTCAGATGTGAAGTCTGAGTGTAAATCAAAAGAATGTATATAACCATAACACACTTGAATAATTGTCATATAGTTCTATAGACAATCAAAATCAGATTATCTATTTTCTAATCAGGCGAGATAATGCAAACTTTCGTTTACTCGACAGTGCATATCGGAGTCATCTCGACCATGTATGTGGTGTGTCGTAGGAGGCGACTAACGTGATCGGGTGGTCAGACTCGCTGACTTGGTTGACACTTGTCATCGTATTCCGATTGCGTAGATCGATGCTCATGTTGTTGATCACTGGACTGTCTGGTCCAGACTCGATTATTTACAGACCGCCGCCATATAGCTGGAATATTGCCGAGTGCGCCGCATAACTAAACTGACTCACTCACTCAGGTATGTGGTGATACCTAAGATGGAAAAGTATTACCACACCGTTGTTTTTAGCTTGGGAATATATATCATTGGAGAGATCGAAATGTCTCCATATCAACTAACAGGCCCTTTTACAAAGGCAATACCAGTTAGTGGCTAACAAACCAATGCCACATATCCAAAGACTCCACAACGCAAAAAGATTACTCACCCCCTTGTTGCAATGTCCAATTGCGTGCGTTCAGTTCTCAAAGAAATCTCAATTTGCAAACAGAATTTTGAAATACAAAATCCTTGGTAGTAAATATCTGATCTCCCACGTAAAATGTAGCACTTCAGGAATAGTATTAATCGTTCCATTATCTACATCGTATTCTGCTTTCCATTACCAGTAAGTACTTGTAGATATCTTCCTATTTTCAGAAATTGTGGGAGTCGAAAACTATTTCATTTGCACTGGTAAAACTCTGAACTGTCTAAATCACAACTGCACCAGAACGCAATCTGGAAAAACCATATGTGCTTCAGGTTGTGTTGAGGGATTTTGGGGTACGAGTTGTAGAATTCCATGTCCAGAAAACTGCCAAACATGTGAACGCCTCGTGGAAAAATGCACGACCTGCAAGAAAAATCAATATGGATTATTCTGTAATCTCACATGCCAAGAACAGTGCCATGGATTCCACTGCAACCAGACGGGAACATGTTCTGATACAGTATGTACTGATGGACGATACGGAGATGACTGCAACAGTCTGTGTAACCAAAGGTATAAGACTTGCCACAGAAGAACTGGACATTGTATCAAGTGTAAGGAAACTTACTATGGAGAATTCTGCGAACTAAAGTGTCCACATTGTGATTTTAAAACAAACGGCAAGTCTGGTTGTGAACACGGCTGTAACAAAGTTCCATGCCCAGGATTACCCAAGCCCGAAGGGATATTTGTACAAGGTATGTCAATTAGTACTGTCAATATGTTAAGATGTCGGTGAGGATATGTGTCTGTTAAACGGTACGTGCAAACATTTTGATATTTAGGTTTCCGTGTTGACCTCACCATAACGAGAAAATGGTTTATTATTTAGCTTTTATCCAATGGCAATGTATCTCTCTATAAATGGATATGTGTCTCATGACTGTATCAAGTATCTTTTGATAGTTTTGTCCATATCATGATTTAAGTGATGGCATGTAATGCCTACGGTAACATATGGGTATTGTTTATTGTCCCTACAAACTGACTGTCGTGGTCATAGAACAACAGTATCATCACACAAAGAGGTGTGATGGGAACTTGTATGATCTGAGTTGTCCTGTGAATTATTAGATTGTCACTAAAACTGTTCTTAGGCACATTTCCTTCATGTCGAGCAATTTTCCCGTAGTTCCTACAACCCAACGTTTTTAGTATGTGGACATGCTTTGTGGACACAGTTTTAACAAAGTATCACGCAATTATGATCATATAATTCTTGATCACACGGTGCTAGGTCAGGTTTATAATATTGAAGCTTTTACAATGTTGCATGCTAGACGTGGAAGACAATGACATCAGCGACAACAATATGCGTGTTGCAATTTTCTATTAGGCATGGATATGACTATATGTTCAAATGTTATATCATCAGAGTCGAACGACAGAATAATATTAATACAGAGGGTTTTGTATGCTTTATTATTACTGTTATTAAACACATGGAATACAGTTGAATTATTTTTATGGCCAATTATGCCTTTTCCTTATCATTACAAGCGTTAATACAGTACAACCATAAATTATTGAGAATTTAAAGATTGTATTTTTTTCCCCACTCATTACTCACGTATTAATGTGAATATTAGCAGAACATAACTCCAGATTCAAAGACAGGTGAACAGTTAGTATTTTGTCAAGTCACCATGGGCAGCAATGCAGGCTTCAATGCGGCGGGGCATACTACTAATCAAAGAAGTTAGAAAGTCGTGGTCCATGCTGTTCCAATATCGGACCACCTCTTCTTTCATTTCAGCAATATTTGTCATATTTGTCTTATTGACACTTTCCTTCATAAGTCCCCAAACATTTTCTATTGGATTTAGGTCAGGTCTATAGCTTGGCCAATCTAATAATGTCATATTTTGGGTCCGAAACCAGGCCTGTGAATGCTTTGAACGATGTTTTGGGTCGTTGTCCTGCTGGAAAATCCAAAAATGTCCATGGAACACGTGAGCAGATGGAAGTAAATGTCCCTCGAGAATATCTGTGTACCGCTTACTGTTCATATTCCCATCAAATACACAGAGGGGCGTTGCCCCTAACACAGATATGCCACCCCACACGTTAAATGTCGGACTGTACTTTTGGCGCTGATACAAAGGTTTTTCAGTTTGTTTGGTCCAGAATTTCAGTGTATTAGGAAACAGCCACACAGAACTTTCATCTGAGAAAATCACATTGTCTCAGTTAAAATTTCTATGCTGTAAGCACCAGTTCAACCTTTGCTCCTTTTGTTCAGGTTTCATGATCGGTGATGGAATTCCTCGATCTTTTCTGCCAACCCATTGCATGCAGCTCAGTTCTAATTGTCTCCTTACAGACAGCCACAGTTCCTCTATCAATCATATCCAGCCTTAAGTTTTCTAAACTCCTTCGTTTGTTTTTAGAAACAAGAATACCAAGCCGCCTCCTGTCACCGACAGTCAATTTCTGGGCCTACCTGCGCCTCCCTGGTGCTCAATGCCATATCCATTTGCAATATTTTTCAAAACACGATAAACAGTGGACAAAGGGATGCCTGTTCTGCTTGAAATCACTTTAGCTGATCTGATGTCCTTGTTATAATACTCTAAAATCAACTTCCTCTTCTCTAAATCATCCATACCGAGGATCACTGAAAATGTCGTCTGCTAGTAAGTAAACAAAGGGGGATAACTCTTCACAAACTATTGAAAAAGGATTAACGGAGTTGTCTCTCTTGAATGAAACCAAGCACTTGATAGCTGGTCAAGGTTGTTTATACTAGAAATCCAATTAAACATATTCCTAAAATTCTCAATAATTTCTGGTCATACTATACAATATGAATTAGCAATACATGTAACACATGGAGGATCAAATATCGCATGAGTGATAAACCTCTTAATCCTTAACAGTTATTCCCACGGTCGAGAGCTGCATCTCAACAATTCAACATTGGATGTCATCGAACATGTTGATGTTGAACGATGACAAGACAGAAGCACTCTTTATAGGACCACCTTCAAGACTGAAGAAATGTGACACTAAGCAGCTTCACTTTGGTAAGGGGTGGTGGGTTAGCCTAATGGTTAAAGCGTTGGCTCGTCACGCTGAAGACCCGGGTTCGAATCCCCACATGGGTACAATGTGTGAAGCCAATTTTTGCTGTCCCCCGCCGTGATGTTGCTTGAATATTGCTAAAAGCGGCGTAAAACCAAACTCAGTCAGTCAGTCAGTCACGTTTGTCAATCTGCAGTGGATGTTTCATCTTCACTCAAGACCTTGGGTGTTCATATGGACTGCAAACTTTCTTGGAAACCCAAGTTTCACAGTTATGTAAATGCTGCTATTTCTATTTGAGAAACATTGGATCCATTCGCCATCTGTTGACACAAGATGCTACCGCATGTCTCATGAGATCTTCAGTCCTCTCTCGCCTAGATTATTGCAACAGTCTATTGTTTGGAGTTTCCAACGAGCTGATCAACAAGTTACAAAAGATTCAGAACATTGCTGCCCGTATTATAACAAGAAGCAAACCATCTTGTCACATATCATCCATTCTCTAATCTCTCCACTGGCTTCACATTCCTGAACGAATCAAATTCAAAACACTGATGCTCACTTATCAGGCAATTCACAAAATGGGACCTGTCTATCTTCAAGAACTCATGACATTGTACACTCCTCCAGAACTCTCCGCTCCCATGATCAGTTTCTCCTGTCCATGCCTACGTTATAAACTCAAATCGTTTGGTGCAAAGTCCTTTTACTATGTTGCTACCCTTTGGAACTCTCTGCCTCTCGATCTAAAACTAGTACCAACTCTGCCACTCTTCAAAAACAGACTCAAAACTCACCTCTTTCAACAATATGTTTCATAAATCCATGCATTTTCTTGTACATATGAACTGTGACTTGTCAGCGCTTTGAGCATTGCCATTGTATGGTGTAAGACTTACTATTATGTTTTACAGATTAAAAATTGTATGCAGCAGAGAGGGTTCGGGTGATCCTGGCACAGTCAGGCTGGTAAGGCTCATCATCAGCTCAGGGCCCTTGCCCCCTCTACACGCAGCCCAGACAGCGAATGGGACTTCTCCCAGGAAACGCTGCCTAGTCGAACCCACCAAGAACTTTCCGGAGAATATGAAGGCTCCCCAACACTGCAGCCTTCTGCATTACCCAGAGTGTCAGAAGGGCTGTACTTCCGGTGGAGAACCCAGGCACTCTCCTGATCTGCGCCAAGAGATCAAGAGGTACCAAACCAAGGGCACCGAGAACAATGGGGAGCCTGACGACAGTGTACTTGGGATGCAAGCGAGACATTTCAAAGGCGAGGTCTGCATATTTATCATGCTTTTCCTTAATCTTGCCAATCACATTGGTGTCAAAAGGGACAGAAAATTCAATGATATAAATACATTCATTGGCTTTATCAAAAAGGACAAGATCAGGTTTGTTAGCTGGAATTCTTCTGAGGCTGTATATGGGCCTATTCCACAGAAGTTTGAAAGCATCATTTTCCATGACGCCCTGGACATGTTCAGGGTCGTACCATGGATGGACCTCAGAGTCAAAGCCACAGGCATGTCGGAGACGGTAGTAAAAGCAACGAGCCATGCCATCATGTCGTTTAAGATATGCTGTTTGTGCCAAGGAAGGGCATCCACTGACAAGGTGTTGGACAGTCTCTGTAAATTCATTGCAAAGTCGACATTTCATGTTAATATTCTTTAAGAATCACATTTAGGCGATTACGAGTGGGAAGTGACTGGTCCTGAGCAGCAAAAGGAAGCCCTCAGTTTCACATTTAAGACCAGCCGACTTCATCCAGGCGAAGGAGTCGGTGGGATTGCTATTCTGTTCCACACACTGCATGTACACACGATGCAATGGCTTCTCAGAAAGCTTCTCGCAAAGACCGACTCTGGGCAGACTTGGTAAAGGACTTCACCTGGTTTACTCCCATCGCTGTACCGTCCAGCAGTACATTGCCATCAGCAAAGTCAACCTCAAATTTCAGATTCTGTCCAACAACCTTGGCACGCTTAAAATAACTGTGGAATTCCTTGCTTTCATCATGAGTCTTCACATGCATCACCAGAGGATCATCCGATAAATAAATATGTGCAAAAGTACACAATAAAATTCTGTCATGAAGAGCCTCCACATTAATCAAACCCCGACCTCCAGAATTGATTGGCATGTATAAACGGTTAAGAGTGGAACGAGGGTGGTGGGCTCTGTTATCAGACATGATCCTTCTGGTCAGACGGTCAAGACTCTGGATGTCTTGTTTTGTCCAATCAACTACTCCAAAGGAATAGGAGAGGACTGGCACAGCAAAAGTATTGGTGGCTTTGACCTTGTTTCGAGCATTTAGCTCTGAGCTCCAGATTTTCTTTAAACGAGATTTATACTCGGCCCATTATTATTATTATTATTATTATTATTATTATTATTAACAGAACAGGAATGATCATTGACGTTGCCAACTAGGGCATTACTGATTTACGTGGTTATAACCCAACCACACTAATTTGATGGCACATGTATTAGAATGATGTAAAATATATGACATAACATTCGGGTAAGGAAGGGCACGAATTACACAACTACTCTGTGTGGTCGATTTCTGGTTTGATTTCTGCGCTAAATAGTTTGCACCGCATAACAGAATGTTGTGGATGAAATAAATATACTTTAGTCTTACTCATAACTATACACATCATTATTATTTTCACAGATTAAGATGCAGCAGAGAGGGTTCGGGTGATCCTGGCACAGTCAGGCTGGTAACGCTCATCAATAGATCGGGGCCCTTGTCCCTCTACACGCAGCCCAGACAGTGAATGGAACTTTTCTCAGGAAACGCTTCCTAGTTGAACCCACAAAGAACTTTCCGGAGAATATGTAGACTCTCTAACACTGCAGCCTTCTGCATTACCCAGAATGTCAGAAGGGCTGTGCTCCCGTAGGAGAACCCGGACACTTTCCTGATCTGCGCCAAGAGATCAGGAGGTACCAAACCAAGGGCACCGAGAACAATGGGGAGTCTGACAACAGTGTACTTGGGATGTAAGCGAGACATTTCAAAGGCGAGGTCTGCATATTTAGCATGCTTTTCCTGAATCTTGCCAATCACGTTGCTGTCAAAGAGGGACAGAAAATTCAATGATATAAATGAATGTATTGGCTTTATCAAAAAGAACAAGATCAGGTTTGTTGGCAGGAATTCTTCCCAGGTTGTATATCCATGACGCCCTGGACATGTTCAGCATCGTACCATGGATGGACCTCAGAGTCAAAGCCACAGGCATGGCGAAGACGATATTAGAAACAACGAGCCATGCCATTATGTCGTTTAAGGTATGCTGTTTGTGCCAAGGAAGGGCATCCACTGACAAGGTGTTGACATTTCATGTCAATATTTTCTTTAAGAATCACACTTAGGCGATTGCGAGTGGAAGTGATTGGTCATGGGCAGCAAAAAGGAAGCCCTCAGTTTCACATTTAAGACCAGCCGACTTCATCCAGGCGAAGGAGTCGGTTGGATTACTGTTTTGTTCCACACACTGCATGTACATGCGATGCAATGGTTTCTCAGAAAGCTTCTCCGCAAATGACCGACTCTGGGCAGACTTGGTGAAGGACATCACCTGCTTTACGCCCATCGCCGTACCGTCTAGCAGTATATCGCATCAACAAAATCAACCTCAAATTTCAGATTCTGTCCAACAACCTTGGCACGCTTAAAATAGCTGTGGAATTCCTTGCTTTCATCATCAAAGGATCATGTCATAAATAAAATTTAATATGTGCAAAAGTACATAAAAGAATTCTATCATGAAGAGCCTCCACATAATCAAACTCTGACCTCCAGAATTGATTGGCATATACAAACGATTAAGAGAGGACCGAGGGTGGTGGGCTCTGTTATCAGACATGATCCTTCTGGTCAGGCGGTCAGGACTCTGGATTATCAGTCGTGGCATGATGATTTCCTATTTTCCAGGCAAAGACGAATGACAAAATTAAACACAACATTTGCCTCTTTATAACGATCGATACCGCATGTTTTGCCGCTTACTTGCGCGTGCATTATCCTTTGTATGTGCCGCCAACAGAAACATCGCCATAGGCTGCCTTGAAGCTGGTGAGTTGCAGTCTGCATTTGCTCAACGTTCAACGTTCATCAGAGCACCATATCACGCCTTTAGGATCGTTTCCTACATACCAATTCCGCCCAAGATCGCCCGAGAAACGGTCGTCCAAGAGTAACCACCCAAGCCCAGGACCTACATCCGGGCTGCTCACTTGCGTCATCGATTGCGTGAAGTGGGGATTCGACCAAGAAGACCAGTTGTCGCCCTTGTTTTGAGAGACTTCCAACGGTACAATCGCTTTCGCTGGTGTCGTAGAGTCCGGAGCTGGAACCTTAGAAACTGGAGGCGAAATGAACGTTTTGCCCCAAATTGCATTTTGACAGGTCGACAGATTCGGTGGAGACAGTGTCATGGTGTGGTATATCCAGCACACAAAGATTTATTTAGTGGTGGTTCAGGGGCATTTGACAGCAAATCGGTACACCAACAAAGTCACATACTTTCGATATTGGACCGACAGAGGGAGTTGTTCCAGCATGACAACGCTACTTCATATACAGCAAGCGTCACGGTCCGCTACGCAACAATGGCGATTTGAGAATATTGAACTCATGTAGCTGCTGCAAGAACAATACAAATATACAACTATTTCTTTCGAAAATATCATCTTTGTGTGATTGTAAACAGCTTCAGCTCCAAAACGTTTTAACTTCACGTCACTTTGCTAGTTCTAACGTCAATGTCTTGCCATGGCCTTCCCGATCACCAGACCTAAACCCAAAAGAACACCTATGGGATGAACTGGATCGACGTGTACGACAACGTCAAAACACGCCTCAGACACTTCCACAAACGGGCATCGCGTTGCAGGATTTCGTCGACTTATCAAGTCTGTGCCTATTAGTAATTGCTGCCAGTGTGGCCATATAAAGTACTGAGTTTGACGCCATCTCATGGACTCAAGTAAACAGAAACACAGCAATAAAGGTTGCTGGTGTTATGTTGGCGAACCCTTTGTCTATGGACGTGTGAATTTTCACTTCTTAACCATTGAAATTACATGAATAATTGCTCTTAAACTAAACCAATAAATTCTTCTAAAATGGCTTATGCGTTTCTTTTTTTGAAGAGTGCATATTGTAAAATCAGAAAATACAGTGCAGCACCAATAAATAATGGTTATATTGTATTAAAACACTTCGTGTTACGCATCCGTACCACTCCACTCCAGAAATTTAGAGCCACTGACGATCATGTGTAAGATTAGTGATATAGGTGAGTGAGTTCAGGTTTACGTCGAACTCATCAATATTCCAGCTATATGGCCTGTAAATTATTGAGTCTGGAGCAGTCAACCCAGTGATCAACAGCATGAGCATCGATCTACGCACTTGGTATCCGATGACATGTGTCAATCAAGTCAGCGAGCCTGACCACCCGATCCTGTTAGTAGCCTATTACGACAAGAAGAGTTACTGAAGATCAGTTCTAACCCGAATCTTCACGGGTCCACTGATGTAAGATTCAGCGGTGATTAGGCCGAAGATTTAGCGGTTTTAATCAGGGTTATTGTGACTTTAATTGCTGACAGACCAATCAGGAGCGAGCAGTTTGTCAGTATGGAAGTGTTTATCCGAGGTGTCGTAATTTAGAGATGAGTAAAATAAATGAAGACGTGAAATGAAAGTTTCAAGACGCTAATTATTTGGATTGGACGAACTTACATTTTTAATTCATTCCTATCAATAAATTGTAAGTCTTATTCATTGACAAAACGACGTACGATTCTTTGTCTAGTCTACTATTTTTAGACATTGTTAATATCATTATTACTGTCACTTGTTGTTGTGAATCATGTCTATCAAACTAGAGGTACGTAGATGTACGTAAATAGCATTAGTACAATACATTACTACTAGGCAATGCATTTGTCGCCCAAGAGCAAAGGATCGGATAGACGGAAAGAGCTCAGCAAAACAAAACCGTACTGGAGGACACTGGCATAATGGCGACAATTAGATTTTAGAATAGTTAAGATTTCAATAATTTTGTCTTTTGCGGATATCGCCATGCTTAATCTGGATGTCGAATACAACTAAAACCTATTCCGTAAATAATAGAAACGACGAAACCCTCTCCATATTCATAGGAAATCCATTAGAAGAAGCTTAACATATAGCAGTACCAAAAGCGTATTGTAAATTACGTGAACAATTATTTTTCAAACTTCTGTTTCAGATGTAATGATGTATGCGTTCATAGCGACAGTTCTACTGATGCTTACTGGAATTGTTGTGATACTGTTCCGGTTGGAGCGCACGAAACGGTAAGGGGAAATGTACAACTGAACAACTTTAATGAACTGGTGCATAATATGTGTCAAAGATTTCCATGCCATTTGAATGTTACATTGAAAAGAATTGTTTGAGGAGAAACATTTGGGATGACACTTTCTCAGTAAAGTACCGATTCTACTACTTCTGCTTGATTGAATCCCATCCGGGATTCGAACCCACACCCTCGGAGTTAGGCACCTAATTGCCAGCGCACAAAGTCAGCTGCCTAACCCGCTCAGCCACCGCGACTTCCACAAAAATGAAAAAGTGTAATCCCAAATATAACATATGTTACATTTGACCACTTTCTAAATGGCATTGTGTAGACATAATCTGGTTCATAAGGGAAATGACGTCATTTCATACAAAATTATAACGAATTACACTTGTCTTGCACATACTTAACTGTCAGTACCATGCACGCATCTTGTTCACGGACTAGAAGAACAATGTCTGGTAAGTCCACAAACTGACTTCATCAGTATCTTGTGCAACCTCCCTGCACGAACAACAGATTCAAGACACCCACTCATTCCTTGGATCAATCGCCGGACTTTTGTTTTGAGAAATCCGGTTCCATTCCTAATGCAAAGCAGCAGTCAATACTTGAGATTATGGACAGGTGAGTCTCTGTGTCGAACACGACGGCCTAAGAAATCCCACAGCTGCTCAGTGGGATTGAGATCTTGACTCATAGCTGGCCATGGGATGGTCCTCCCAAGGATCTCCTTTTTATATCGAGGCCCACTAAGGTTACCACACGAATGGTAATGAGATCCACATTGCAACCGAAGGGAATCAATCCCTATACCATGATTGATCCTCCCCTAAAAGGAACCGTCTCCAGGATTTTGCGGGAACCATAGCTGTGTTCCTTCGTCTCCGGACATGCGTACGGCCATCCACGCATGCAATATGGAAAAGTGAACCCTACGAACGAACACGTTGATTACACCATACATGTCGCACAGCTTTGTGAGCTGTAGACATTTTTATACGCTTGATGGGTCTTCTGGCCCTGTAACCTGCTGCTTTCAGCCGATTCCGGACGGTCCTGCAGAAAATGACTCTCCCTGGTAACCACTGTTGCCTAAACATGTCACTGAACGGCGCTTGTTGCCGTAAGGAGTCTACCAGGTCTTGAAATACTCTAACATCATTGGTTGACTGGAGTTTGTTCTCGTATTTGTGATGTTACTTGGTGTTTTCCCCATATTGTTCCTACATGGCCGGAGCTAACGTAGGAGAGCTTTCATGATCAAAGAAAGGAACAGGGTTGGACTCATTACGTTGCCTTGGATTGCGCCGTTGTCCAAGGATATAGGACCCGATTCAACAATTTTAAATCATAACACTTCTGTTGAAGAAAGTCTTATTAATTTTGAAATAAACTAACCAACTTTCCTTCTTAAATTTAGCATATCCCTAATTTATCATGAGTCCTTTCCGTGGAGCTGTATACCTCCTGTAGAGTTGGTTTAGGAACATCGTTGTTTTCCTAGATGGTTACATGTTATACCGAATGATATAAAGACGATCATATTGTAAACAGAATGCACTTGAAACAAATGGAATTAATACAATGTAGATTCCAAACACCTCAAGGGTACTATTTAACTTTTGCAATCTTGGAAATGCCCATGGAAATCTTCATGCGTGGTTCTACATATGAAACAGATAAGGCGTTTTCTACTATTATGTCAAGTTCAGGAAAATAAATCAGTTGAAGGGAACTGTCTATTTGATAATTACGGAATGGCACACTTATCTTGGACAAGTGCAATTAACGCCTTGGCCAAATCTCCCTTTAAGTATTTTGACAATCCGAGCCGATTTCCGATTCATATGAATAACTAAACAGAAAGGAAGGGAACACAAGTGCTTCCCATGGGGATGACTAAATATGTTTTCCTCAAATTTCACATCGATGCTATCTGAGTGGAAAAGCCTCATGTATCGTCATGTATGAGATAAATTTTGTCGAAGCATCGGTGTTATTTAAGCTGTATAGCGATCGATGGCACTGACCATGGAAATCTGCCAGCATTTTTGGTCAGAAAGTTTTGCGACAAATGTCCGTTGGATAAAAAAATAAAGGTTTTTGCAAAAAAGTAGTAAAACCAAATGTTTTGGCATAAATTGAAACTTATTTTTTCTAAGATTGCGAAACCTTTGATGTTATGAGAATCAAGATAATACTATCTCCACTATTTCAAATACTCCCAGTTATAAGGACATTGATTTCCCTGTTGGATTAAGGTCAGACTTTGAGACGGGGGCTCTGATGAAGTGAGTGAGTGAGTTATTATTTAACGTCACATCGGCAATATCTGATGAAGCGTTAGCTGGACCCAGCAATATCTTTCCTTTTGAAAGGACCGTTGCTGAGCGTTGCCATCCAAGTAAATTTGTAATATCTACGCCTTAGAGTTAGATCTGTGAGAATTACATGTGGCATCGACAACGAGGTCCAAATGTTTCCAACATTCAGTACGATAAAAAAGGGAGTAGGGAGCTAGAGACTATATAATATCAGTGAGATAAAGTTCCGTGTGCTTTGTGCCCACCAATGGCGCTCCCCTCCTCGCGGATCTGTTTCTGTTGCATATCTGTCAGTGGAGTGTTGCGGCTTGAGGTTGCACCTCTTTCCAGCTCTGAGGAAAACAACAGCTTTACGCGTACAAGCAGCAATAGGGCTCTTGAAAATGGATTTACACAAGCATAAGATGCCCAGGAACATTTCTGTGAATTCAGATTTTGCAAAACTGGTGTAATTTTGTGGAAAATGTAACATTACAACCAATACCAACCAGCGGACAAGCTGGCTGATTACTGAGCGAGCTGAGGTGTGAAGCAGGTCATTAGAGCGAGTCAGAATACCCTGGCCTAGCCCGGCTTACCATGTAATTGACACAGAGATGGCCATACTTCTTACTAAACTGTATTTGGATTTTCCGAATATCACTGTTGACATTAACCCCTGCTTTTCTGCTGTCTGTGAATGATGAAGGACCTCATAGAATTCCTCTGAAAACAGTCACACTGAATGAACTGCGGCAACTATACATATGCAGTGTCAAGAGAACTGCGTGGATTAAGAAACAGTGCCTCCAAAAACATCCTGCGGAATAAAGGAATTACTCCCATCCAAACAGGAAATTAATCAACATTTAAACAACACAACACCCGCCTTGGTCTGGTCAACTCAAGATGCAAAGACATGTGAGCCAACAAATGTTAAGGCCCAGGCATTCCATGACCTTATCATAAATAACCAGTTGGATATTTTAGCAGTCACAGAGACATGGTTTAGAAATAATTATTCTGACAACATTGCTGTAGCAAAAATGACCCCAAGTGGTTACAAATTCACCCAAGTTGCCAGACAATATGGAAGGGGAGGACGATTAGCTGTGGTGCATAATGACAGAATAAATGGTAAACCACTGAAGATCCAACACGCACATACAACATTGGAAATACTGTCCATACAGTTTGTATCATATGGAAATCGTCTAAAGTATATAGTTTTCTACAGGCCTCCAAGGAATGTGAATGGTTTCTTTGAGGAGTTCGCAAACCTGTTGGACAGTAGGACAACACTTCTTGATCAAATCATTATCGTCGGAGCTTTTAACTATCACGTGGATAATGTGAATGACAAGGATGCAGCTACACTTCACAGCATACTGGAAGCTCATGGACTTGTTCAGCATGTCAAACAGTCAACTCATGTTAAAGGATATACTCTGGACCTCATCATCACCCGTCCTGAAGAACCGTCAATATGTCACATGAAATTTGATGAATCCATCAAGTCTGATCACACAGCTATCCTTTGAACTGCAAATGTAACAGTGGCTGCACGTGAACGGAAAGAGTGAGTGAGTTAATATTTAACGTCACATCGGCAATATTTCAGTCATATCGTGACGAGAACATATTTGACATGGAAATGGAATATGTGTATATTATAAAAACCTGTCATCGAAGGACAGTAAAACAACTAGAATATCACAATTATAATTAAAATTAGTGGGGAAAGTTAAAACTGATAGCACTATTAGGACAATACAAGATAAAAACAGGCTATAGAACGCCAACAACTGAAGGTAGATCACCATACTAGGGACCATGGGGACTTACATTACTTTTGCTACCTGCATGGACCCTAGCTGGATTTACACCATCCCTTCAGCTCCTGGCGATTGTAGTCGAATTTAGCCATAACTTAAAAGCACAAAAATACTACGTTTAAAGAATCTGGTAAGTTGAGATTGACTTTAAATGTTTCGGGACTTACGTACCCTCTCAGGAGGACAATACGTTTAGGGTACTTTAACCCCCTTTGAGGGTACAGACACTAACAATCACAGTTACTAATCTGAACTACCAATCATTAAAATACAGCTATCTACAGAACATATTATTCAAAATTCATCTATTAAATCAATTTCTTTTTAAAAAAACAATAATTTAATGAAAATTAACAGTGTTAAATAGACCCTTAACTGTTTTCACATTGAAAAATTTATCCCTTATGATGGGTGAACGGAAAGAAATTCACTACAGGAAATGGAAGAATATCAATATGGACTCTTTCCAGCAAGATCTGTCAGCAGCAATACAGACAAAGGATCCATCGTCCCAATCTGATGGTGTGCATGTCTTCAATAGTGTTGTGACGAGTGTGGTAGACGTGGTGCACCATGGTACACTGACGAGCTTCGCAAAGAAAAACGAAAGCGTCGACAACTTGAAAGGCAATATCGCAGAACACATTTGTCAATACATAGGGATCTTCTCAACATCCAAAGAAATTATGTGAACACCCTAGCTGAAAAGGGAAAGTGTGAATATTTCAGTGAAGCACTGACGTCAGCATCAGGTCAAAAGGAGATATTTGAAACTTTAAACCAACTCTGGTTCAAGAAAAAGACCTGTCCTTCAATCTTTCACGTCAAGAGAGAACCTTGCAAACGCGTTCTCCAACTTTTTCTATGAGAATTTCCTCAAAATCAGGGGCTCCTTTATCAACAAAGTTGACTTATCTGACTCTTGTAACGAGTCTAGTCCACATCCACTCACAGTGTTCCAGACAGCAACTGAAGCGGAAATAGTATCACTGATTAAAAGCAGCCCTAATAAATCTTGCAGTTTGGATCTTAAGATGTCCATGGACAGTGTTTTTCCTCTCATCACCTTCATTGTCAATGAATCTACAACAACATCATGCTTTCCACAGACTATCAAAGAAGTTATCATAAAGCCGCTCCTGAATAAGCCAACACTGGATCCCGAGGTGTTAAAGAACTATCGGCTCGTGTCAAATCTTCCATACATCTCAAAGTTGATCGAACGTGTCGTGGCCTCCCCTTTGAAAGAGCATATGTTGGAAAATGGATGTTACGAGGTCTACCAATCAGCCTGTCGGACCCACCGCAGCACAGAGATTGCCCTGACAAGAATACAGAGTGACCTCCTGAAAGCAGCTGACAAAGTTGGAGCAGCCATCTTAGTGCTATTAGACTTATCAGCAGCATTCGATACTGTGGATCATAATGTGCTTCTTAATGTGCTGGATAACCGGATTGGTGTCCACGGTTCAGCTTTGGAATGGACCCGAACGTACTTGTCCAATAGGTCACAGGTTGTAAGCATCGGTGGTGTAAACTCTCAGAAGAAAGATCTACTTTATGGTGTTCCACAGGGGTTTGTTCTTGGGCCAATCCTGTTCACTATATACACGCTACCAACTGGTGACATCGCCAGAGCACACAACCTCAATTTTAACTTCTACGCGGATGACAGTCAGATCTATCTGGCTTTCAGACCACTAACGGTAACAATCTCTTATCAAACCCAACACTGTATAGACGACATCAAACACTGGATGACATCAAACTTTCTAAAATTGAAAGATGATAAAACAGAGTTGTTGGTCATCTGCCCTACGAAAACCATGACAAGGATCCATCTGCCACAGTTCCAAATTGGCGAACACACCATACCCAGAAGTCCACATGCCAGGAATCTGGGGGTTATCTTTGACTCGTCACTCAGTCTGGAGACCCATATCAACTATGTTTGCAAGTGGTCATACCATCACATTAGAAACATTGGTCTGATAAGGAGGTACCTTGATGTGGTGCAACACGAGTTCTAGTCCAAGTCTATGTTACATCCAGGATCACATCAGATCAGTACTTCAAGACCTTCATTGGCTTCCTGTCCACCACAGAATCCAATACAAGATGTCAAGGGTCTTGCTCAATCATATTTGTCCAGCATGATAGAAACCTATCAACCAGTCCGTCAGTTAAGATAAGCTGAACGGAATATTCTTGCTGTGCAACGGACTAGGACAAAGATGTTTGGAGATAGATCTTTTGGTAAAGCAGGTCCAGTTCTCTGGAACAGATTACCTCTTCACCTAAGATCAGAACAACAGCTATCCACATATGTAGCAGCCCTAAAGGTTCCGAGTCCCGTGTTGGGATTCGAACCACGGAACTTCTGATCCGAAGTCAGACCTCTTGTCCAGAGGACAAAGGAGGGTTAACTCGCCAGCAAGATGACAAGGTCAGGATGTCATCCATGGTATGACTCCACGTCCTGGTACACATAGAAAATACACAATGCTAATCGGTAAAGCTTTAGAAAGTCGTATGCTTGACGTGTGGATGGTCAGAAGTCATTTTGAATGATACAAAACGGTTTAATGGGTACTCAAACAAGTCTGGCCATGGAACACTTACAAAGCCTGTCATTATATGATCGATTTCTTCTTCTGTTATACAATATAAGTTTCATATTTTCTTCATAATACAAACGTGCTTAATCAAAATGTCAATACATAATGCTGTTAAAACAAATTGGCAGCTCATAATGAAATATGTGGTAATCGATGTATGGTTTTATCCAGACGTAGATATAATGTTGTCCTGTCGTCATGATTAACGAAGAGCATGTCGTGAGTTGAATGTTCTGTAACGAATCGGTACTACCTCTCTACAATATGTTTCATTTTAGGGTCGCACAAAAGGCGAATGTGAAGTATACATCAGTTAGGAAACTACAACAGTACTAGAGGTAAGTCGAAGCACGTGAGTTGGCTTAATATGTTAATACATAGTGATGTTTAAGGCTATGATGCATTTCCAAACAAGAAGTGATCAATCAGGACGCAAGGTTGCACATACTGAACGTCCTTAAAATACTGTCACCATTTCAACTTTAAGATTTCAAAATTTTAAATATATTAGGACATAAACAACATATTCTACACATTGATGAAGATTCAGAAGTATATACACTTGGACATTAATCAAGCACAGTTCACTTCTTCACTACATGATGGTGTATATGCTTTGAAAACCGAACTGTCACTCATTTGTCTATGAATATAACAAAAACAGTTGAAACTTGGTACGTCGGCAAACTTCATCGGGCCTATGAAGTTTTGCTCATCGTATAGACGTCGGCCCAACGTTGGCAAACTTCAATGGCCCTGTATCGGCCCTGCATCGGCCCTACATCGGCTCAGCGTCGGCATACTTTATTGGCACTGCATCGGCCCAACGTCGTCATACTTTATAGGCACTGCAATATTAAACTAACGGGCAAAGAAACGATACCAAGTCGAAATCACTGATATTACAAAACGACAAACCACCATTGTGTAAAAGGAAAGTGAATTTTGATAACAGGTGTATGGGTAACATGCATGTGCATACACATGCCCATACACCTGTTATTAAAATTCACTTTCCTTTTACACAATGGTGGTTTGTCGTTTTGTAATATCAGTGATTTCGACTTAGTATCGTTTTCTTTGCCCGTTAGTTTAGTTGCTCACTTCACTTCTCCACGGTGAATACATATTTGATAGCATGTACCACAATTTATAAATGAATACTATTTTATATGTGTATCAAAACATATATATAAATGTGAAGAAACATCCCCTAAACATATCATGTTTTTAAAACGATTTATTCATATGAATTTGTATGGTTCCAGAAACAGTGTGTTCTATGAACGTTTGGTTATAAAATTCAGTAACCACCAAAAGGCTTCTGAAAACGTTTTATCCATGTGAATGTTTATGGTTCAGGAAACGTTGTAATAACATTTTCTGTCAAGATATGGTTTTAACTTTTCAGTAAAACACTAACCGTTAACAATAAGGTTACATGTCTATGGAAAATAGACATTGTTACTCTTAACAAGGAACATAAAAAGAATGGCAGACATGTAATCAACACTCTTTATTAATTTTTTCAGAAAACGCGTACACTTTTCGAGATTATTTCAGAATCTTCTTCTTTGGTTTCGACTTTATCCATTTTTCTGAAATAAAGAAAACAAATGTATAGTAAGTGTATTAAGTCAAATCAAGAGACAATAATCAGTTAATGAAGTCTTCCAGCACCTATGTATATGCAAGTGTTTGATGGACACCAGCACACAATGAAAAATAATGGAAATCCTTGAATGCCTAATTTGGTAATAGTATCAAATCACACTGAATAGCAACCACTACCCCATCACTCTTGTTGGTCAGAGGCTGAGTGCAGGTACAAATCCATTTTTTGCAATAAAAGCCAAAACGCCACCAACAAGTATATAGACAATGGTATTTAACAGATGCACTTACGTTTACTGATTCACAGCTCCTGGATTATTTGATGTAATCCTCAATAAATCCATCACTTCTGTTTGTATCTGCCGGAATTCTTGTGTCTCATTTTCGCCCTTGCTGCAACGAAAATAACAATGTTCCACATTATAACAAGTTACAAATTGAACTAGATTCCTCAAGCATATATAAATCTAGTTAGTCCGATGCAGAAATATACTGTGTAATAATTATTGCCTAAAGTTTTGGGGGTCAACGTGTGTAGATTTAACACCAGCGTGCATAAAATAATAAAGTTGGACTGGTAATAACTCTGCCCCTTTACAACAAACATGGATTACTGGACAGCGCTTCTATACATTCTAACCTGGAATACAAACTTGAATTGATATATTAAATAGCTATTGTAACTAGCTACATGATTCACGTCTTACACGCGGAACAGTTAGTGCTGCAGTATGATTTCGTTGCGGGCATTGTAACCAGATTCGTTCAGTTTTCGTTCACCGAAACATTTTTCTCTCATTGGCAAAATGTTTCGGTGAACCAAGTAAACCATAAGAAATTTATTTGGTCTACATTTCTTGAACAAAGACTAAGTAAATTTGAATAATTAATACTGTCTCATGAAAAAACATGGTGATCGAAAACCGAATGAACATTGCCGAGGACCAGTCATCGCCAACGCCCCGTTATTGCGCGGGAAACATGTTTATTTCTGGCTCTCGTTTAGAAGAGACATATACATATCAGAAAATGAATATTGATTAGTTTGGGGAAAATTGAAGAATACACAATGTAAACACTATACTTTGATAACATAGATCTAGCCTTTTACTGAAAATAACGTGGATCGAATGTTAGACAAGCAAAACCACAACAACCACGCGGATGATCAACATATAGTTTAGTCAGTGTTACGGTAATTTACCAAGTATGCTTCGGTCATTTCTGACTGAACATTCATTTTAAATAACGTACTTAGACTATGACAGTAACTAATAGCCCACAGTCAAATCGACCAGAAAGTATGTGAATACTTTGATTCCCCATTTTCGTGGTATACGTTTGATGCAACATTTCCCACTGACTGAAGTGAGCGAACTTTTCATAGCTTAAAAAATTGATAGTAAGTTGTAATGTTAAATTTATAAAAAAATATATTTCAGAAATAACAGGGAACAAAATTAATGACGATAAGAGTCACTGGCTTGTGAGCTGTGCATACGCTTACTAGATCGAAAACCGAACGTAATAGCGACAAATGTCCGCCTGACATGAACTCTGGTTAAGAACATACTGCTTGCCATTGATAGCTGAATAAAATTTTGTATCCAACATGAAATTAATATGGTGCAAACTCCCTTAGGTCTCCTTCACAACAACATACATAATACTTTCTGTTGGAAGCCTAACAACACCGAATCGTGTACGGCTGCTCAAAACCTCGCGATTTCTGAGTAGCACGATCGAGTGAATATCAAAATGTACATAAACATAACAACAACCGGGTAGTGACTGTAAAGTTAACTTACCGCAACCGAGGTCAGATCGATGATCCCGAGTTCCATTTGTTGCTGCACAATGACATTGTTGTACCGTCCTCAATAAACTTCAACTAAGATGGCGGGTGCGAAAATATGACGTGAACGTGTGACGTCATTCCGACGTCCTTTCCCGCGGTAACATTTATTTCTTCATGAACAACTTTTAAAAAAACATTTGAATAATTAATGCTTTTAAATAGTTGAGAGACTTGTTTTAAGATTGTGACTGTGTTTTGACGAAAATATTTTGGATAAATCAGTTTGAAACCTTATGAACATGTTTGGAAGATGTTATGTGTTAGCTGGGTTACATTGGCCCGCTGTCGGCCCAGCGCTGTTCAACGATGCCGATATTAGCCGACGGTGCCGACTATCAGCCGACGTCGGGCCGATGATGGCATGCTACCTGTGTATGCGACCCGAGGGATTGCCATAAACTCATCATCTTGGGTTCTAATCATCCCGATTATGCCCCCAGATTTGTTTGCAAACCATTCTCACTGTCTCGGAATATCCATTCCTCCACAGCTGTAAGTAGTTCTTAGAAACGAGAGCCGATCCATTGTCAAAATCAAAACAAGGTAATTTGGCCAAAACGTTTAACTTGACCTTCATGTATATCGATGATCTGATATTCTTCAATGGCGGTGGAATAGCGTAATGATCTAATTCCATGCCATTGATGTACAAACTTTAAGAATCAATAAACAAGAACAGCCAAACTGACTCACCTGTTTCACATTTGGATCTATGCATAGTCTGGTTTGTGTTTTAGGTCCAGGTCATCTATACACAAGACAGTGTGACAATAACAGAGTGACTTCTACTCCCAATGCATCTCCAGCCGTTGACGTCTACATTTCTCAACATTTGAAGTATAATCGAATATACTGTTTGTGGGAAGATTTCAAAAAAATGAAAAGTTCGTGGAAGTAAATGATGTTCTCTTTGAAGCTCAGTCCGGTTTCCAGCAGGGCTATTCTACCACGGATAATAGTTTGGTACTTCAGTCATTAGCACAAAAATATCTCAGAAAGCCTAAACACCGTTTTTACGCTGCATTTAGTGACTTTCGCAAGGCATTCGATTCGGTTGATAAAAATAAATTGCTTTATCAACTACTCCAAAATGGTATTCATGGAAAGCTTTATAACACTTTGGAAGGCATTACAATAACGTTTGTGCTTGCGTTAAGATTGGCGATTCTATCACCAATATGTTTGACACATCAAGTGGAGTTAGACAAGGCTGTATGCTAAGTCCTCTTTTGTTCATCTTCTATATAAACCAGCTAGCTGTTGATCTACAAAATGGCGATTCTAGAGGCATATTCGTGGATGATGGTGTTGAAATTATAAAATTACTTCTTTCTGCTGACGACAGTGCAATAGTTGCAGATTGTGTTGCGATCTGCAGAGTTAGTTGAATGCTTTAGAATTATTTTGCAATAAATTGGGATTAATTGTAAATATGGAAAAGTCTAACATCATTGGTTTTTTTCCAGAAAGCTTAAATCGGTTATTATTATAAATGAGGTATTATAAGGGCAATAAACTGAAAACTGTTGCGTATTATAAGTATTTAGGTGTGATCTGTCTGTGAAACTCTTGTAAACCAAGCATCAAAAGCTTGTATTCCTGTTTACCAGCTAATGAAATGTTATCCAGATCTTTCGCTGAAGGTTATTTTGTCCATATTTGATACTAAAATTGCTTCAATTACATGTTATGGCAGTGAGATATGGGGCTTTACTTTTCGTAAAAGTATACAAATAGTCCAGAGTAACTTCTTCAAACAATATTTTGGTTTAAGTAAAAGATCTTCATCAACGGCGGTTCTCGGTGAACTCGGGCGTTACCATTTTTCTGTACATTACTTTGCCGCAGTATAACATACTGGTGA